GCACCTCATCGTGGCCACCAGAAGGTCCCAGGCTCGATCCCCAGCAGCATCTCCAGTTAAAAAGGACCAGGCAGGAGGTGATGGGAAAGACATCCTGAGACCCTGGAGAGCCCCTGCCAGTCCGAGTAGACAAGACCGATGGACTAAGGTTCTGTTTGAAAGGGGGCTTGTGGCTCAGTGGAAGAGCCTCTGCTTGGCATGCAGAAGGTCCCAGGTTCAATCCCCGGCAGCATCTCCAGTTAAAAAGGACCAGGCAGGAGGTGATGGGAAAGACCTCTCTGCCTGAGACCCTGGAGAGCTGTCAAGAGGGGCTGTGGCTCAGTGGCAGAGCCTCTGCTTGGCACGCAGAAGGTCCCAGGTTCAATCTCCAGCAGCATCTCCAGTTAAAAAGGACCAGGCAGGAGGTGATGGGAAAGACCTCTCTGCCTGAGACCCTGGAGAGCTGTAAGGAGGAGCTGTGGCTCAGTGGCAGAGCCTCTACTTGGCATGCAGGAGGTCCCTGGTTCAACCCCCAGCAGCATCTCCAGTTAAAAGGACCAGGCAGGAGGGGATGGGAGACCCTGGAGAGCTGCTGCCGGTCTGAATAGGCAGTAGTAACTTTGATGGACGGAGGGTTCAGTATAAGGCAACTTAACTGTGTTGCTTCTAGGTTCCAGGCTAGGAATCTTAGCTTTTGCAAACTCTCCTCCCCAGAAAGAAAACCTTGCTGACAGGAAATTAGTATGTCGGGGTGTGGGGAACACTAGAGAGATCCTTATCTTTGGAGTTCTAATGTTCTACACACAGGGGTGGTTTTTTTAATTAAAAAAAACCCTTCTGCCATTTGAATATGCAGAGAGGGGGGGGACACCAGAGAGATCCTTATCTTTGGAGTTCTAACGTTCTATACACAGGAGTTCTAACGTTCTATACACAGGGGTGGTTTTTTTAATTTTAAAAAAAAACCCTTCTGCCATTTGAATATGCAATATCACACCTCCCACCCACGCCTTGAACAGGTACTTCCGGGTGGGGGGGGGGGACTTCTTTTTTATTGCTTGATTTTGACAAACGCCTAAATGGAAATCTGTTTGTGCTTGGAGAAGGGTGTGTGTGTGAGAGAGAGAGAGGGGGGAACAACTCCTGAGCTGAAGAAACTAAAAATTTGCATCCGTTCGCTATGGGTTTTGAAAATGAGCGAATTCTACAGCAACCCCCCCTTGACATTGTGACATCACGCCTGGACTTCCACTTGTCCCCTCTCCCCAAATCCTCCGGGGGGTGCCAAGCAGAACCCTGAGGGCCAAGGTCATGCACTGAGTTTCCTGGGAAGAAGGGATTTGAACCTGGGCCCTAAGTAGACCTGCCCTGGCCTCCAAAGCTAAGCAGAGGCAGGCAAGGGCAAACCCACCTCTGAGCGTCTCTCGCCTTGAAAGCGCTACGGGATTGCCGTAAGTCCGCTGCAGCTTGAGGACGCTTCACAAACGCACACATACACACACCCCTGGCTGGACCACAACGGCGTGTTTAAATGAAAGCCAGGACCCCCGAGGTACGTGACTCCATGCTGCAATGTGCCAACTGTGAAATGCACTCACGGATGTGTGTAATCCGAGACGCCTCACATGCCACGATTCCTTGCGGGAGCCGAGAGGCCGCAAAGACAACGGGACTGCAGAATCCAGCTATTAGTTAAGCCTTTTGGAAAGAGTCAGTGGAAACACAACTACCCCAGACGTGGTTCCTTTTGGCAGGATACATGCCAAAATGCCTTTACAACTTGGGCCTTTGGGGACACCATTACCTCCACCCTGGTAAACCGTGTCCCCAAAGTACAGCGCCTTCCCCATAGGACAAGTTCTCTTTCTGTGAACAGCAAAGAACCCCCAGGCAGAGGACAATCCCAGTTCTTGTTAATGTCATTATTGTTTTTTACTGAGCTTCCAAAGACCGTCTTTTCCTGTAGGGCTGCGATACTTGGAAGCACCTGTGGACGCTCTCTCGCTTTGCTGATGCACAGAAGAACCTTTCTGCAAAAAGGTTCTTACTCAACAACAAACATGCATGGGGTGGTTTCTCTCTCTCTCTCTCTCTCTCTCTCTCTCTCTCTCTCTCTCTCTCTCTCTCCCCTCTTTCTCTCCACACGCCCCCCCTCATACCAAAATGCCTTTACAACTTGGGCCTTTGGGGACACCATTACCTCCACCCTGGTAAACCGTGTCCCCAAAGTACAGCGCCTTCCCCATAGGACAAGTTCTCTTTCTGTGAACAGCAAAGAACCCCCAGGCAGAGGACAATCCCAGTTCTTGTTAATGTCATTATTGTTTTTTACTGAGCTTCCAAAGACCGTCTTTTCCTGTAGGGCTGCGATACTTGGAAGCACCTGTGGACACTCTCTAGCTTTGCTGATGCACAGAAGAACCTTTCTGCAAAAAGGTTCTTACTCGACAACAAATCTCTCTCTCTCTCTCTCTCTCTCTCTCTCTCTCTCTCTCTCCACTTTCACTGCCCACGCAGCCATCCTTAAAAGCCCCCCTCTCTCTGGCCTTCCGCACAGCTCCTAGGGTGCCCGCACTCCTGGAGTGCTTTTACACCAATGGGCTCTCTTCGGCATGGTTTGTGCAAAAGGGAGCACACGAACACATCGGCTTTCCCCCCCTTCTCCCAGCCAAAGAGGTGGCTTAGACCCCTGAGGTCTCTTCCAGACTGGAAAGAGGCTTCGGGGTCCTGCTAGGACTGGGGTTTGGAGAAAGCTGTCAGGGTTTGCCGGGGAGGGTGAGGAAGGGAATCTCTCTCCCTGCACAGCCAGGGCATCTTCTACTAAGCCAGGGATAGCAATGCCCTGCAAGAAGGCACGGCCTGCTGGTACGGTGCCACGCCGCCTCCGAAGTCCAAAAGGATTAGATTTCATTTACGAGATCGGCTTGATCTGGCTCCGGACTTCAATCACCGCAGGCCAGCGAGGAAATCAAGCCGCGCTTGGTAATTAATGCCATCGTGCCTGGTTTGTTAGTAATGACCCCGAGAGAGTGCCCTTTCCGGCAGGACGCCAAAGGGAGCCAACGGGGCTCCTGTTTCTGCTAATTACTCAGGGCTGAATTCGGATGCCTTGGCTCAACTCACCCACCCGATGATGTCTC